CAGGACACATGCTTTGGGGAACAACTGCTTTGAAAGAATAGACTGTTTGGAGCTCCCAGCTGTGAGAGCCATTTGTGAGGAGGACTCCCAGCTAGGGCGAGGGTCAGAAACAGCTGTTGCCTGGGGCTTAGATTTCCAACCAGAGTGAATTGCTGGCTCCGGGACAGAGTTTTTGATCATACGTGGGTTTTGTTCACATTCAGCTGTTGACTTCTAGGGGGATGACTTTGGACACCCACCCAAAGGTCTCTTGCCGTTTCAGGCTTTACCGGCTAAGGGCAGACACCCCCTCCCATGTCGTTCATTCCCATCCGAGGCGCCAAGGACGCCTTTCATGTTGTTTCTTTATAAATAAATCCCGCAGTGTGGATTCCTCCAGGCTCCTGCTTCTAGCCGGGCAACGTCCATAAGCGCCTGGTACCACAGGGTCTAATGATGTGTTTATTAAATGGAGGAGTAATTATGGAAGTTAGAGAAGTATCTTTTGGAAGCCCCAAGCAGGATGGAAAGGGGAGGTCCCCAGTGGGATGACGGCGTGGAGGAGGTGCTGCTTCCTTTCCCTGTGAGACATCAGGGAGAGGTGCCAAGGAGCACAAGGAGAGCACGCCCATGCCCACACCCCAGCTTTGGGGAAACCGAGGTACGAGCACACTCGACCACAGATGTACAGGAGTCCTCGAGGGCCAACTAGGGGGCCGGGCCCCGGGGGGGGGGCGGCGGGTTGGGGGGTCGGGGTGTTTTTCCCGGGTTCTCCCTAGTCTTTTGCCTCAAGGAAAGCCGGGGAAGGAGCGAGTGAATGGGCGACGGCAGGGGCTGCGTTTCCAGGCAGGGGTTTGCGGTGGGTCTCGGTGGTGCGGGGGTCCCAGTGAGCCCGAGGCGGGGAGGGGGTGCTGCCTCGAGCTGGTCTGGCAAAGGTGTTGTGAGGAAAAAATGGCAACACCAATGGCAGATGAGAAATAAAATGTCATGAAGCAGGTTAGAATTATGACGAAAAAATGTAAACGGACTTGATAGCAAGGACAGGAGGAGTGGGCTACTTTAACCTCCACACAACTGGAGCAGGAAGTGGAGTCCTGAGAGGGAGGCAGGATTCGAGGCCACAGAAGAAGAGAGGCTGGGAGAGGGGAGAGAGGGAGCTACGCCCGCCCGGGGGCGTTTGGTGGGCGGCAGCAAGGCTCACAGGCAGCGTCAGACACACGACAGGAGGGGACAGGCTCGGGAGAGTCAGCAGAACGAAATGGAAGTGGACAACTCAAAAAACCAGATAAAGAACAACATACCTGGAAGATAGATGATACTCAACATGTGAATGATTTGTGTCCCTGGAGAAGTGGACCAAAAAAATAGAAAGGAGAAAAAAAATTTTGAAAATGTAATCTAAAAAGAAAGTGAAAAAACTCCCAAAGTCTACAGATTAAAAGGGCAAATGGAATTCCAGGAGAAATTGATGCTTATGATATGGTAGATATATCCTAGTAGCGTTACTGAAATTTAAAAAAGGCGTAATACTCTGGGAACCTGAGCAAAAATATCTGAGAACAAAAACATTCACAACGGTCTTGGGTTCCTTCAGGGCAGCATTCAGTGCCACAGAGAGAAGGATGTGTTTGAGGGACACAGCTAAAATGAAGAAAATCAGAAATGCTTAAAATAAAAGAATAAGTAAATCCATAGCAAATGCAAACAAAAATAAGTCCAAAGGTCATAATTTCATACCAGACTTTGGGGGAAAAGGCAGAAAACAAGACAAATATGGGTACTTAAACCAGCAAAGAATGCAATCAACAATAGACTGTGTACCAAATAACACAGCATCAATATTAAAAATAAAACAGGTAAATGTATATAAAAACAGAATTATGATGAGAAGTAGACAAATTAATGGGTGAAACTTTGGGAAACTTTGATTCCTTCTCTCAATTCATTACTGACCCAGCAGATGAAACCCCCCATATATAGTAAGGCATATCTAATTGGGATAAATCGACACTGTACCCTTAAAACAGAATATTTATCTTCTTTTCAAGTATCACTAAAATAGTCACAAAAAATTCACCAAAGAAAATCATACTAATTTCCAAAAAGCAGAAATAGGATGCAATATTCTTTGATCATAGTGAAACTAGAAGTTAAAAACAAAAAATCCTTACTGCTCATAAATGAAGAATAATGAAGAATAGCAATAGCAATAGTAACATTAATAACAAAATATATCCCTTGTAAGCTACTATTTAGTGAAAGAGAAAATAAAAACTGAAATTGGAGGATATCTAAAAATAAGGATAATAAATAAATCCTTCAGGGAAACCATTGAGCAAAAAATTGCAGACTTGAGTAATATCAATAGTTTTAAGTCCATGTATTAATATCAAAGGGAGATGAAAGGAAGTGAATAATGAATCACACTAAAGAAGTAGAAAATAATAATAAAATAAAGAAAGGAGGAAACGGGAGTTAAGAAAGATAAGAACAGATACTATGACATTGAAAAACAAAAACTGCTGGATGTAATAAATAAATTTAAAAACTAGATCTTGAATTTAAAGCAAGAAGTAAAAATAGATGAACTGTTCACAAACTCAGTTAATACAAACAGTAAAACAGCATAAATGAATAAAATAATAGTTAATAACTACAGGTAAGAAGAAATTAAAGAATCAGGACAAATTACTCTTCTTATTTCTGCATAAATAATTTGAGAGCCTCAAATAGACAATTTACCAGAACAATTTCCCCACAGAAAAGGAAGCTTTTAATGAGATCAGCTATTGTAGGTGCAATAAGAAACCTGTCAATAGTTACCAGCCTCAGGCCCGGATAATTGCACGGGGCAACTCTACCAAACACTTAAGGAAGATATGATTACCACGTTATTATATATTGTAGAGCACACAAAGGGGACAGGGGCATAGTTTCTAAATTCTTTTTACGAATTTAGCATTATTTTGCCATCCTTGATCAAAATACCACACCAGAGAAAAACTACAGATGTAACAATCTCATATAAAATATCAGCAACAAAATCCAGCAGTACTACAAAAGAACAAAATTAAATAACATGGAGTTTATTTCACGGATTGTGGGGTAGTTTACCAAGATAGGAAAACTAATTAGGGAAACTAATATAATTTATGATTTTAAGAGGTTAAAAGAGAAAAATGGCAAGATTATTTCCAAAGGTGCCAAAAAGGCATTTGCTAATATTCAATGTACATTCTTAATTCTAGGAGTAATAAAGGCATAAATATATATATATATCTCATCTCCTACATCTTATCCTAGAAGATAGCAGTATGCTTGCCAGGGAAATACTAGGTATATTTCTATTAAAGTGAGGGACAGCAAAAAGGATATCTACTTATCACCACTGTTTTTTTAGCATTGTTTCAAAGATGTTAGCCAAAATCATATGACAAGAGGGATCCGAGAGACATAAAAATTAGAAAGGAGAGATAAAATTATCTTTACTTGCAGATGATAGAATTGTTAACTAAACATCCCCGAGGATCAGTAGAAGGACACTGTAGGTAAAATGCTGGGTTCGAGACCAACAGTGTCTGTGTTTATAAACGAAACCAGTTGGAGATAATAGTGGAAGAAGAGACTTCACTTACAATAGTGAACAAAAAGATTATATGTATAGATACAGTTTTTAAAAGAGCTGCGCATGATCTGTAGGAAGAATACTTTAAACTGTACTAAACAGCACAAAATCAGTTTTGTACAAATGAAAGTTTATTTTAGGTAGGAAGGCTTGATATCATAAAGCTTTAGTTCTCTCTAGCTCAATCTATAAACTTAATGAGATGTAGATAAAATTACCGATGGGTATTTTTTCTTTCGGAGTCAGATAAGCTGATTTGAAAGATTTTATGGAAAAATAAACACACAAATTTTAGCCAGGACATTTTGAAATCAAAGCATAAAGAGGAAGCATATTCCCTAAATTTAAAATAATCTGATCTGTAACATAAATAGAGAGATAAATGGAACAAAAATAGCCACAAACACTCTTGGTACTTTATATCTTGTAAAGGTGGGATTTCAAATTAGAGGGAAAATGTAGATATTCAATAAAATCAGGGGAAATGTTGGAGCAATTATAGCCTAACATCTGGAAAAAATTAAAGTTAAATTTCCCATTTTACAGTCAAGTAAGTTCCTGATTTTAAAAATGTAATGCACAATAATAAAATTATAAAAAATTATTGGAATAAGAGGATAATCTGTAAAAAATATTCTTGGCATATGGAAACTCTATAAATTTGACTCCAAATCCATAAGCTAAATTTGAAAAAAAGGACTGATAAATTTGGTTACATAAAACTAAAAAAAATTGTGCAATACAAAGGTATCACAAATGAAGTCCAAAGAAAAATGAAAAATGAAGAAATATTGCAATTAATTTTACAGAGAAGTCAATTTCTATAATATATAAGGAGCTCCTACAAATCTATAAGAAAGTTGTTAACAACTCACTGGAAAGTGGAACAAAGATATGATCTGTCACAGTGAAAAAATATCAAGTGGCTCTTAAACAGAGGAAAAGATATTCAACTTCACTCAGAGTAAGACATATGCAAATTAAATCTAAGATGAGGTAACGTTTTTCACCTATAATTTGGCAATGACCAAAAAGTTTGGTATCATGTGGATTTTGCACTGATGTAGGGAAAGGCCCTACAACCTTTACAGGGAACAAGTAGGCAACATTTTATCAAAATTACAAATATTCATACCCTTCTAGGAACTCAGAGTTCAGCAATTTTAACTTCTAGGAATTTATCCTACATGCATTCTCATAGGTATGCAAAGCAACAACACATGTACAAGGATATTTATTGCTGTACCTTTTTATGACAGCAAAAGAGTGTCATTAGACTAGAAGTCCATCAATAGGAAAATAGGAAGCTGGTTAAATAAATTATGATACATCCACATAAGAGAAAATTAAGCATCTGCTGAAAAGAATAAAGTAGCTCTGTATGAACTGATGGGGAATGATCTCCAAGAAATATATGAAAAACGCAACAAAGCAGTGTGATTACTATGTTACCATCTGTGTAACAAAATATTTATTTTTTGAGAAAGAGAGGGGAAAGGGGAGAAATATGGGGAAAGAGAGAGAGGGAAGAGGGGAGAAAGAAATGGAAGAGACTGACTATCTCTTTGAAATGATTCATAAGAAACAGAAAGAAACCATGGGGTCTAGGTGGGGAAGATTTAGTTTTCATTGACTTTAATCTTGTGCCCTTTAGAATTTTGAAGCATGTACATGGTTTAATCATCGACTATAATTACAAAATAAAGGTCTAGAAACAGATATTTCATAGTATCTCTGGATGACCATTCCCAGAATTAAGAAGGCCTTCGGGCTTTGTAATATTTTAAAGCATGCTAAAATTATGTCCAATATCCTTATGTTTGACCGTCTTTATCTGGACAGAGTGACAGCAGCCTCTGAAAAGAGCACATTTGAACATGTTATTTCTTTGCTTTAAAAGCCCTGCAATTTCTCCCTACCATAGAAGAGCATGCTAACAACCTAGCCTGGAATTCCAGGACTTCCCTGCCGTATCTCTGCTTGACTATCCAGTGTCATCTTCCAACACTGCCTGCTCCTCCTGCTCCCACCTCCAGCTGAGGTTGACGGGCTCTTGTCTCCACACTTACTTCCAGGTTCTGTCTCGTCCATGGCTTTGCAGTCTTGCCTCCTTGCCCAAGAACTCTTGGCCCCCTTTTCTTTACGTAGCTATTGTCAAGACTGACCTTGAAGACCCAGCTAGGGCATTGCCACCCCTGGGACCTCCCACGGCCCTATGCTGTGTTGACCTCAGCACTCTGCACAAGGTCATGCTACTTGTCTGGCCCCTCCCTGGACCCAGAACTCCATAAGGACAGAAACCACGCCACTTTTATCTTTGTATCTCCCAGCCCTCGCATGAAACGTGGCACTGTAGGATGTAGTGGGAACATTTAATTATCCCTGAAGGGTATGGGTGAGCTTTGATAGAAGGAGGGCCACTCTACCTAAAAGTCCATTCTTGGTGGCTGTGAAGCCAGTGTTGCAGTTGCCCTTGCTCCTGGGACCCTCGTTTTTCCTTCTCTGGGCTGGTGTGGACTGAAAAAGTAGCAGTTCTGTTGTAGTAACCTTGAGTATGGGTCTGGAGTTTTGCCCTCGGGGTGAAGCTTGACTTCAGTTTCTTCTGCCCACCCTCCCACAACACTCATCTACGCTAGTCCCCTCTCTGAGCTCACACTTCCTGGCCCAGAACCTCAAAGTGAGCAGCCTTCCTGCCCTCACCTGTCACCCAGAAGTTTGTTGCCACGGCTCTTCCTGGACTTTGGGACCACCCACACCATCCTCTCCAATTCTCTTTGCTTGGTATATGATAGGTGTGACATTCCCGAGTCCCCATCCCCATGCTCTTCCTCTCTGCAGTCAGCCAACCATTCCCCAAGCCCAGTTTCCTCCCTCCCAGTTTGCTCCTCAATCTGCCCAGCCCCACTGCTGAGATCCTAGCGCTGCGCTGCGTTTGCTGGAATTGCCTGCTGAGCCCTGCCCCTCTCTCCTCCCAGCTGTTCTCCACGTAGTATCTGAAAGGCGACCCACCGTGTCACTCTCCTGCTTCCAAGCCTCCAAGAGCTTGTGCAGGAGAAATGTCAAGCTCATTCGCACGACTTAGATTGTCTTGTGGGGTCTGGCGGTTTCTCACCTCCGCGGACTCATGACTTGTCTCCACCATTTGAGCATCAGTTCCTTGAACTTTCCAGCTGTTCTTCCACCAGTCCTCTGACCCAGCCTCCATGTAGTTTCCACCAAAATCCTTGCTTAATCCCACAAATACTTGTTCAGTTCCCTTTCCAAGTCGCCCGTTTGCATCCTCTGTTGCTGCCGTCTCTGTGCTCATCATCCTTTAATATAATCATCTTTAAATACAGCAAGTTCAGCACAGGGCAGGGAAGATGTGTTTGGCTCTGATTGTACTCCTAGTTGCCAGCACAGAGTCTGGACTGCAGCAGGTGGTCCGCTGACCTTTGTAGAATCGATCAGTAGATGAAAGTGCAAAATGTCCCCAGCCGACCCAGGGACCTGGCAGTTTGACACCCTTGAGGCTCACAGCGGTGGAGGCAGCAGCAGGAAGAGTCAGGAAGGGAGGAGACTTCGGCTGGAGCAGGGAGGGTCTCTCTCCTGTCCCGCTGGTTATCTGCTCAGGGCTGCCTGTGAGTATGCGTCTCAGCTGACTTCCTCTACATTTTATGTACTATTATAGATATGACATTATATCATTATATTAGATTTTAATGCATAACTTATATCTTGCATTATAATACTCTAATAGCATTAAAGGAAATTTTTAGCAAAACCACATTTTATCCATATACCTACTGTTTTCATCATTGCATTTTTTAAAAAGATTTTAAAAGTACACTTAATGCTGTAAATAAAAGAAAAACTGGTATTTTATGACAAATATCCAATGTTGATAGACAGATAGCGACACATACATTCATCATCATTGTATTTTCTTTGTGCTGTTTGTTCGCATTCACACTTGCTCTCACGTAGCCATACTCGTATTTTATATTCTCCTTGTTTACTTCCTAACTGTAACCATTTTCCCTACATTGTATATTTTTGAAGACCGTGAACAAGTTAGACCTTAGCTTTCTCTATTCCAAGTTAAAGAAGCTTAAACCGTCTCACGTTTTCTCAGGGGTCTTAGTTTCCAATAGCTTCCCCATTGTAGCTGCTCATCTGTCAGTCCTCTCCAGACCCAGCACGTTCCCCAAAAACGCAGAGACCACGGCTGCGACACCCCAGGTGCATGCTCGTCCCTTGTTTTCCATCTTTGCAGAATAATCTGTATTGTTCAGCTGTCATCTCCTTGCAGGGCGCGCCCTATTTTAAGAAAACGGGGTATTTGAGAATGCAAATTTACAATACAGATTAACTGGAGAGCAATTATTATTCACAAAGTGTTCTTTGTTTTTAAAAGGATTTACTGTAACATATCTTTAAATAGCAAAATTGCTGGTACATGTAAAATAGGTTTGATTGAGAACAGCGTGATTTATTCATACGTATGAGTTTTGGGAGCGCAGCCGCTGCGTGGAAGGAGGTGCACCATACCCTGGTCAGAGGCAAATGTTCATGCCTTTCTGCCAGCACCCTGATCTTTGAGTTGGGCCTTTAAACCTAATTTGTAAGCCTTGGCTGTCCTTAGTTCAGACCAACCATGGGACAAATTTTAGTACCTGATGCAGGGCTTGGCTGGTTTTATGTTGTTGCTCATTAGGCTCAAAAATAATTGCATCTTGAAATTTTCATTTAGAATTAGGAGAAGTTAATAGACTCCTTTAGTCTCTCCTATGGCTATTTAATGAACTGAACTGTAAAGGTCTATTGTTTGGTTATAGTTATATTGGCTAATAATATGCCTTCAATTTGTTTAGTAAGCAAAATTATTATTTATTATAAATCTTCACCTCTTTTCACCCTTCTTTTAATTCCAATGCTTAGATAACAATAGACATTTCACATGGAAAAATTACTACTGCTTTGATTCATAAATATTATAATACTATTTTATAAAAGAACTTAGCATCTAGAATTTCTGAAGACTCCAGCAAATTGCGTCATGGGGAAAGATTTGTAGACTATGGATGTCTTTTTTTTATGTGTGAGTTTGACACAAAAGAAAGTAAAAAACAAAAACAAACTCACAGACTGAGAAAATATTTGCAAGTCATATCTTACAAGGATCTAGTATTTAGAACATATAAAGAATCCTCACAGCTCAACTATGAAAAGATAAATAACCCAATTAACCACTTCGGTACAGCACTCACCGGCCTTGAAACCTCACCCACAGCGGCACGCACAGTCCGCGCGGTGGTCTGCGCTGCGCATTGACGACGCGGCCGTCTTGCTCTTGTGTGATGAGGAAAGCTTGAAAGCACTGAAAGCTTGTTTTACTTTACAGGCAGCTTTCCTTGTAATGTAAATCAGAATAGGTAACACAGACATACATGTTTTCATTACGTTATTTTTAAATGTTCACGATTTTACTTTGATAAATGAAAAATTAGAAAATTCATATCATGGCTGTCAGCTAAAGTCACTGTGCGCGTCCATCTGTGGCTGTCGGCTATAGTCAATGCTCATACCGAAGGGGTTTAAAAGTGGGCAAAAGATTTCAATAGATAGTTCTCCAAAGATGACGTACAAATGGCCAACAAGACCAACTTGTACACAAATATTTACAGCAGCCATTAGGGAAATGAAAATTGAAACCATAATGAGATGCCATGTCACATGTACTTGGTGAAAATAATAATAGCAATAATAATAATCAGACAATAACAAGTGTTAATAAGGATGTGGGGAAATTGGAACTCTCATACATTTCTGTGGGAAGGTGAAACCATTATGAAAAAGTGTGGGAGCTTCTTAAAAAGTTAAACATAGAATTACCCTATGATCCAATAATTTCACCCCTAGATATATCCAAAAGATTTGAAAACATGTTCACACATAAACCTGTACACAAATGTTTACAGCAGCATTATTTATAAAAGCAAAGAAGTGGAAATGACACAAATGCCCATCAGCTGATGAATGGATAAACAAAATGTGGTACATCCATATAATGGAATATTATTCACCCATAGAAAGGAATGAAATTGTGGTACGTGCTACAACATGGAAGAATCTTTAAAACATTAAGCTATGCGAGCAAAGCCAGACACAAATGGTCACATATTTTATGATTCTATTTACAGTCATATGCCACATACCGACATTTCAGTCAATGACAGATGGCATATAAGAGGTGGTCCTATAAGATTATAATACCATACTTTTACTGTACTTTTACCATGCTTCGATATACAAATATTTACCATGCAGTTACGATTACCTGTGGTATTCAGTACAGTAACATGTGTGCAGCTTTGCAGCCTGGAATCATAGGCTGTACCGTGTAACCTACGTGTGCGCAGGCGATACCATCTAGGTTTGTGTACGCACACTCTCTGATGTTCCCGCCACAACAAAGTATCTCAGAATGTATCCTTGTCGCTAAGCAATGCCTGGCCGTATATGATCTACCCAGAATATACAAATCCATAGAGATGGAAAGTAGGTTGACAGTTGCCAGGGGATGGGTGGAAAGGGGCATTGGAACTCACTACGAATAGGTGTGGGGTTTCTTTCTGGAGCGATGGAAATGTGGAATTAGGCAGCAGTGATGGACACACAGCACAGTGAATATGTTAGAAACTACTGAATTGTACACTTTAAAATGATGAGCTCTATGTTAGGTGAATTAGAGCTCAATTTTTAAAAAAGCTCAAGTTAATAAGACTCTTGTTAAAGACACTTGTAGATGCTGTAAACAGAACATTGGAAGAAGAATTGCCCTGTACGAGCTAAGAAACGGAAGGGAAAAAGGTGAAGTGATTCTCTACTCAAACTTGTGTAACTCTCTCGAAAACTAGAAGCTGAAGAAGGACCAAAGCCAATAGTCAAAGTCTCATAGCGAAAGGACTCATGTACCCTGTGCCAATTCTAGCAAGACTCCTATCCTCTTAGTAAACAATTCTAGCAAGACTCCTATCCTCTTAGTAAACAAACAATACATCAATAACAAACAGAAACAAAACCAAACACAAACGCACTAAGAAAAACCAGTACTGGGCAGGGAGGTAGATTTGTTCAGTACCTGGGGCCACAGATAGGATAGTCATTCCCCCCTTCCATGTAGAACAAAACCCAAATGCTAATTGTGTCTTTGGTACCTACTAAGAATGCATATTTTATAGGTGTATATTGTGTTTGCATTCTCTCATGTTTCTTTATATCAGCATAGTAAATATTTATTTGCTTTCTCCTGGGAAAATCAACAAAAACTTAATCTGTTATGCCTCCAGGATTTAGTAAGGCATCACCTACTTTGCCTCCATCATTACTTCGAGGATCCTCAGTTTCCCTGTGATTCTGTTCTTATCCCATATGTAGGTGACCTTTTGTTGTGTTCAAAAGATGAGGTGAGCTTTAAGATATATTCTATCTCTACCTACTGTTTTAGCTCAGAAAGAGCAGGAGGTTTCCAAAGAGAAATGACAATTTTGTCACAGCAAACTTCATTATCTAGGACATGCTTTATCCCAACCAGATAAATCTCTTGGTTATCACAGGCTACAGACCCTCCAACGTTTTTTTCCAGGCCACTAACTAAGAGACAACAATTAAGACATTTCTGGGTCTCCCTTGTTCCTGCAGACAGTGGGTTCCTAACTTTTCTCCAGTTGTCACACCACTGCATGACTTAACCAGGTCCTTGGTAACCAGACCTCCCTCCTGGAAGTCTAAATAGTAAAAGGCTTTCTGTGAGTTAGAAGCAGCCCTTTAACAACCTCCCGCTGGCTCACCTCACCTTGTCTACACGTATGTGTGCATAAGCGACAAGCCCTTTGTCTTCCGATGCAGCTTCATGAAAATCATCAACGACCAAGAACTTTCTACGGTGTTTCTTAACTCAGTGGCACAAGCCTGCGCACACAGTCTATGAGCGATAGTTGCAGTAGCTAGACCAGTGGAGGCTTTGTAGACTTGACTCTGGTATCTCCTCTTTAAGTTTTTTGGTTTGTCATATTGTACAATCCTTATTGCTCATTAAAAATTCGCCAAGTTTCTCAATAAGGTAGGCTGAAGTCCCATGGCAGCCTGTTACTTTACCTCTCGCATATTTTCATTCATTAGTCCTTTAATTCCTACTATTCTTCTATTACCTTAAAGAACAGGAAACCCTAACCTCTGCTTGTGAGCTATTTATATTCCTAATAAATTTATTAGGAGCCCCTTTAGAAAATGTAGATTGATTGTCAATGGGCTGTACATTAAGCATGAAACATGAAAATATTAGGCAAGTTAAGCTGAAACGAATCTCACCTCACCCATAGAAAAAGACCCCTTACCAAATGAAAATCTGCCTAGATTGGCAGAGTTGTACACTGATAGTGGATATCCTCAACTCACTGGAAGACTTTCTCTATTGGAGATCTCAAGCCGGAGCTTCTTAGAAATCCCCAAGAACCTGATAATCTTCAAAACGAGACAGGGTCTACCCAAGAATGTTGAACTAAGTTAATGATGACATGAGTTGTAGACATCTTCCACCTAAAGTCCACAGAGCAAGACTGCAGATAGCCATGCTTTTATGTGCATTCTTTGGTTGTTCATCTTTCTAGCTATGGTCTTTCCTCTCTTACTGGTTTAAGGCTGCTTTGACCTATGTTCCATATAAGGCTAAGTTCTTAATATCAGTTGGAGAAGTCTATGATCTTGGAATGCTCTGGAAATACAAGAGAGTTCTTGACCTCAGTAGGGACCTCAATTAAGAATGATCAGCAAATTAAGGAATGTTTGAGTGCTCTAAAGCTACTGTAAAAGTAGAGGCTCATGCAAAAGGGAATAATGTAGAGATAAAAGGAAACACCTGGCTGATCACAGCTGTCCTTTTGTATCTTGGGGTATTGGTTCTAGGATCCCTGCTGATACCAAAATCCACAAATGCTCAAGTCTTTTATATAAAGTGCCATAGTGTTTGTGTATAACCCACACACATTCTCCGGTATACTACAGATCATCTTTATATCATAATACACAATGCAATGTCAATGCTATTTAAATAGTTGTTGTGCTGTTTAGGGAAAATGACAAGAAAAAAGTCTGTGTATGTACAGTACAGACACAATCATCCATTGTTATTTTCCAAATATTTTCAATTCTCGGTTTGCTGAATCTGCCGATGCGGAACGCACAGATAG